ATATGGAGACCTGAATACAAAACACACAACCCCAGGTCTGAAGCACAAACAGAAGCCTAGGTATTTATATACTTGCTCTCTACGTCACACCACTATAAGTTTCGATCAAAGACTCTGCTTAGTTTCACTTTCTGGCTGCAAAAGCATGCAGTTTCCTGTCAGTACTTTTTGGCACAGACTGTACTCAGAGTTAGGCCTCTCTTATATTAAAACAATATAATCAGCAAATACACATTCAGATTATATATTCAAACCCCAACATTGGCTATTTTTTTTTTTTTTGCATTAAAATCTTATAAAAAAGTGTTCACAGTGAGGGATGAACTGTGAGACAGCAAGTGTTACAGCCGCTCGGCAGAACGGATTTACATCATTTTGTTATTAAGAGCAAAGCAATAACTACAAAATCAGACTGGGCAAGGAACTTGTGGTGGTTGATCTTCAATTGGTGAAGTTCGGGGCTACAAGAAACTTTCTTTAATGAGCAGCTGTCTAATTAGGCAAAGCCTGCACCCCACTTCCACCGGGCGCACCTTGATCTTCCAGCCTCTGTCCTCTGCCTCAGCTGCCAAGTTGGCATACCGCAGTTTCTTATGCTCAAACGTAAGAAGCTGCTAGTTTTATTACAGACATGGCAGGACCCCCCAAAATCCCGAAAGGTTGTGTCTTATCAGTCCACAAAATATTTTTCCAAAAGTCTCTGGGATCATCAAGATATTTTTAAACAAATGTGGTTTTCTCCTTGGAGCTCGCCCTTTGGCATTTTTACAAATTCTTTCTTATTGTTGAATTGTTGAGTTGTCAGCTGTTTCCTTAGATTGTGGCATGATATGTTGCTTTTTGAGATCTTTTAACCTACTTCACTTGAAATTATTTAGGACTTCATGTCATTGTGTGATTTATTTGCAGATAAAAGGTGATAAGTAAAACGCAGTGCTAATAATGTGACAAAAGGAGGAAGAAAATCATGGGTAAGTAAATTTTGTTTCTATGAGATGCCTTTTTTTTTTTGCATTTATGGAACTTTCAAGTATCTGTAGCCTACTTGCAATTTAATGTTTTCTTCTCTGATTCCAAAGTGTTAAGCATTCCATCTTAATCCGGTCGTTAAGTGATGACGTGACGAATCCTACTTCCGGGCCTAAAGTAGTCTGCGTTTAATATGGCTTTTGTGTTGTTAACATGTTTAATGCTTTGTATTTTCTTCTATTTAATCTCAAAAAGCTCCTAAAACAGTCAGTGATCACTGTTGACCTCCCTCGGCTTTTATTACCGCTAATTATTTATTTAAGCTCAGTTTTTAAAACCTTAGGATGTAACTACAGCCCAGCTCATGCAGCAGTATATGAATGACTAACCTCGTATTATGGACCTGCAGCGGAGTTTAGGCCCAGACACGGCTAGTGACGTTAGACTTAACGACCGGATAGACTTTATCAACAGAACAAAAAAAGATATGTACACCAGAGGTGTGGACTCGAGTCACATGACTTGGACTCGAGTCAGACTCGAGTCATTAATTTTATGACTTTAGACTTGACTTGAAAAAATGTTCTAAGACTTGTGACTTGACTTGGACTTTTACACCAATGACTTGGGACTTGAATTGGACTTGAACCGGTTTACTTGAAAAGACTTGATATTTCACCCCAAATATAAAATTTAACATGCATATTATATAGAGATTGAAAATGTGACGTCATTCACGGGTAGAACCGCAAAGGATTCTGGGAACTCGTGGCAAGCGGTACTAGCGCACGCAGGCTTTCAATTAAATCAGTCACACAGCGATAAAAAGAAACACAAAAATGTCAAGAAGCTGTTGTATTATTAACTGCAATAGCCGGTCGCATGACAGCCACGGGAAGCCGACGGGTAAAGAGATCGGTTGTTATCGGATTACGTCGTTGAAGAGAAATTGTTCGAGCCATGTTTCCGAAGTAACAAAGACGCGACGGATGGCCTGGATTGCAGCCATTCAAAGACAAAATATAACGTCCCAGAACACTCCAGCTCACAGGTTAGTCTGCTCCAAGCATTTACACAAAGGTCAGTCTGCTGTTGCAGTTAATGCGTCATTTTCATTACATAATTGGTGATATAGGTTACAAGCAAGTCTGGCGCTGAACAGAAATTGTCGCGCTATGCTCCTTTGTTTATTGTGCATAAATAGTGAATTGTCCTGACACAATATTGCGTTTCGCTTCTGTTATTATGGTACATTGACAAAAACATATACTTTTATTCACAGGAGTAAAACAGGTTTTTTGTATCACTAATTGCCCAGTACGATTACAGCATACAGTATTATTGTCACTGCTACATTTCTGTGATGCTACCAGAAATTATTTCCACTACTAATTAATTACCGTTGAGCTCAAAGGTCCTATTAATAAACGGTTAACAAATGTGTATTTATGAGACGATTTGTGAGACTGGTAAACTTATGATAGTACGATGGTCTTTCGTTCTACACGGTGCATTTCAAGGTCCTGCACCCATCCGTCGGTAAACTGTACCTGGGCTTGTTGCAGTGACCTGAAGTTACTAAACTTCATGAGTGTATGCACTCACTCCAAGAACCGTATAATTATAAATATGCATATAAATATGCTACGATGAGATAGCTGACTTCATCTAACTAGCAAATGTTGTCCAGGCTACGTTGGTGATACAGTTTTTTTTAATGTGTATGATATTTTTGTGCATACAGTATTATTGTCACAGCACGGTGGTTAGCACTGCTGCCGCACAGCAAGAAGGTCCTGAGTTCAATTCCACCATCAGGCCGGGGTCTTTCTGTGTGGAGTTTGCATGTTCTCCCCGTGTTGCGTGGGTTCTCTCCGGGTACTCCGGCTTCCTCCCACCGTCCAAAGACATGCAGCTTGTGGGGATAGGTTAATTGGATAATCCAAATTGCCACTAGGTGTGAATGTGATGTGAATGGTTGTCTGTCCCTGTGTGTTGGCCCTGCGACAGACTGGCGACCTGTCCAGGGTGTACCCTGCCTCTCGCCCCATGACAGCTGGGATAGGCTCCAGTGCCCCCCGCGACCCTGAAAAGGAGAAGCGGAAGCGAATGGATGGATGATATTTTTGTCATGCGATTTTAAAGCTGGTCCTACAACCGCATCCAAGAATAACATGCAGCTTATCTCAGAACTGTCGGTGAAAATTATTCTTGGAGCTAGGTTTAATTGAGCTGCATTTTATAGAGGTGCAATTTCACAATTTGTGTATATTTTCTAAGTTCACTATTTTGTCATGTGTTGAGAAAAACACAGATTTAAAAATTACATGGTCTAATATTTACATTTAGCATAACTGCAACATTATTTTTTCGTTTTTTTGTTGTTTTTTTTTAAAGACTCGAAAGGACTTGAAATTCAAAGTTTCAGACTTGTGACTTTACTCGGACTTTTTCACCAGTGACTTGAGACTCGACTCTGACTTGCCTGACATTACTTGACTGACTTGACTTGGTAGACTTGGACACGGATAACAAGACTTGGTCCCACCTCTGATGTACACCAGATAAAAAAAAAAAAAAAAAAAAACCCAATAAGTCATATTTAGTAGTTAAACTTTTACAGGTTTCGTAGGTGAACCATCAGTAGCATCCTTTAGTATATTTTTTGATTATACAGACCATAATGCTACTGTTTTGGTTTATCCTTGCTGTTCTTTTCCCTGTTATCTCCTTGCTGCAGGCTGCTGTTTGCAGGTGTATGTATAACTTGTACATGTCTTTCTTGTGTAAATGTAAATTTGTCTGTGATTGTGTAAATACTTATGCTATTGTGTGCTTCACACATGGAGAAAAGACAAACTGCCTTTCATTGTTCTTGTAACAGTGACAATAAAAGCTATTCTATTCTATTGTTTTGACCAAAAAAAAAAAAGCTTCAATAAGTTTAAAATTAAGAAGCAAATTATTATATTGTCAGTATTTCGCTTAAAGATGGAATTTATGTTAACTAATTTTATTAATGCATAATCAAATACATGCTTTTTTGTGCTCTCACAGCTAAAATACCTCAACAGTTACCAAGTGCTTCTGGGTGGACTGAATCTGAAGTAAGCACCTGGCTAAGATCAATTCGAATAAAGGAACATTACATAGAAAAACTCTATGAAGAAGAAGTAGATGGACAAATCCTACTTGCACTGGATGAGGACTTTCTAAAAACAAAAATCTGCATGAAGTCAGGGCCTGCTCATTTGATTATTCAGAAAAGAGATGAGCTTATCAACTCCCAGCAAAAATGTCAAGAAAAGAAAAAAAAAACAAAACTACTGGTTCCAAAAGAACTGAGTTTGAGGAAAAGAAAAGTAAGAAATCAGTTCAGTGTCTTCAAACAGTAAGTGATGGTTCTCCAGCACAAACTACACTGAGCGATCAGGAGAAAGAAACTGCTCAGGAACAATGTGTGTTGATTTCAAAGGAAGACTGCAAACCACGGCCATTCGATCAAGAAGGGACTAATTTCTTATATGTAAAACACAGCATCCTGCAGCCTGAATCAGGTGCTTTTAATCTGATATCGCCATGCCACGAATTTAAGTCTTTTGCTGTAGCTGCTACATTGGATCGCACAAGACTCCAAGCTAAGTTTGCCAAAGAGGTTCTTAAATTTGCAGCTGGTTGTATGAATATCAGATCAAATGGCACAATACACTTTGGTGTGATGGACAGCAAGGAGGATGGAGGATATGTGCACGGTGAGATAACTGGTATCCCTGTAACAGACAAAGATATTTATGTCGATGCTTTGGACTACATTGAAAGGAGTTTCTCCTCTGACAAAGAGCACATACGCCAGTGTGTGCGACCGCCAAGGTTCATTGAGGTTATAGATCGACAAAGTACAGAAAAGCGATATGTGGTAGAGGTTGACATTGTGCCATTAATAAGTATTGTCAAGAACAAAGTGTATGCAGTCCGTCTGCCAAACTTCAAAGAATCAACAAACAAAGTAGAGTTTGAGAAAGAGATGATTTTGCGAAGAGTGGGTTCAAAAACGGAGCCAGTGAGTGACAAGGACCTAAGTGACTTTTACCAAAGAGTCAAAGATCGTGATGCTCAAAGAGAAGAAGCAGAAAAAAATCATTTCCTTATTGCTCCAGAAGTGTGTCAAGACCTTGGAAGAAAACTCACCATGCTGATGACCAGTGGTAAGAAATTCATTGAAAAGGAAAAATGGTTCATACTCGTAACAAACAAATTCAAACCTGATGACCTTTGTAACATTGACTGGCTGATTAACATGAATATTTTCTGCGTGTTTGACTTTGACCCAGACTCAAAGATATCAGGTCTTTGCAGTAGATACCTTAACGACCGTGTTGCAAATATGCATTCTCTCCAGAGCTACAAGGTGTCCGCTGGCACAAACATCAAAGAATTCACAAGTAAGCTGGTTTTGTTCGATCAAGTTAGTTGGATCTTTTGCAATGGCCGTACTGACTTCAAAGGAAATGAAGCTCCATGTGATGAAATGACTTGGATTAAGACAAAAATGATTCAATTTAAGAAATCTGTGTCTTTAATCTGTAATCGGATTTTGTCAAAAGGTACATTCCAGGTCATATTTCTATTATCATCACCAGTTGAGAAACCACTCTTGCACACCTTCTATGAGTTTTTCACAGACATGGAAGGCCATGAAGACATCATCTGCATCTGTGAATCAGAGGAAAACTTCCATAAGTGGCAAAGCTTTGCAGAGGGTTCATGTGGGAAAGAAGCTGTAAACAATTCCAGTGTTGTTGGAATGAAAATGAGCCACATTAATGCAACTCTGCAACATATACAACCTGTGAAAACGCATGCCAGTAAACACTTGCCAGTCTTTGTGGGAGGAACATGTGTTCTTAAAACACAAGTAGAGGAACAGATGTACTCGCTGGAGATTCTGACGGTCAATCATTGTGATGAAACATGCAAAGAATTCATCAATGAGGAAAAAGAAAACACGGAAGGCCAGTTCTACCATGGTGGGAGAGTGACTTGGTTGCATTTCTGGCTTGCTGAGAACAAATATGCTCGAGAGGTCATTGAAAGAGATGCTTATCACGAGACTTCCAAACTTCTCAACGATGCCTTGAAATATAATGCAGACCAGACTCCAGTGAATATCATAAACATCTACCATCACCCAGGAAGTGGTGGAAGCACTGTGGCAAGACAAGTGCTGTGGAACAACAGAAAAAGTCTAAGGTGTGCAGTTGTGAAGCCCTCATATCCAGTTTCTGTTGTTGCACAACATGCAGTTGAACTAAGAGAATATGAAGAAAAGGATCCACAGAGATGTCTTACTGTGCTGCTCCTCACTGAAGACTCAGACAAAGAATATCTAGATGATCTCAGGAATGAACTAGAGGGTGCCATAAACGAAAGACAAATCCAGTATGGTACTCTATGTTTCATTTTGTTGAGCTGCAGACGCTCCCATGATCCAGAGAAAAAATGCAAGGAGTCTCCTTTACAGAATGTGTCTGTCACTCATAAACTGTCTGATCAAGAGAAGAGAAAGTTTTCTGGAAAACAAAAGGCACTTAACAAAAAATATGACTTTAACTTCATTCTGACATTTGTTCTAATGAGCAAAGGATTCAGTGAAAATTATGTTCAAAAGTTTGTGAAACATCTGCTCCAAGGCATTAACCGTCACTCTGTTGAATGTCGTCTCATTCGTTATGTAGCATTGCTGAACACATATGTTCAAAACTCTTTCATCTCTCAGTCTCACTGTGAAGCTTTGCTTGCCTTAAAGTTTGACTCAGAGAGGTTTCGTCGACATGAGTTTGAGAGATCCCTCAGCGATCAGGCTAAGCTAGTCTTCTTGCACCTTCGAGATGACAAGACGCACATTCAATCAATCAGAATCATCCACCCACTTGTTGCAAAAGAAATTCTTCAGCAACTTCTGGAACCCCAACAAACTCAAAGCAGTTTGGCGATGGATTTGCTCCACGAGGATGTGCTCTTTGAGCATAGTTTAGAAACAGATGACTATCTCACATTTTTGAGACTGCTTTTTATTCGAAGATCCAGAATAACTGAAGAAGACAAATACTTTTTGAGTTTGTTCTCTCCTTTCATTGAGCATGTGCGTGGAACTGAAGAAAGCCCAAATAAAGCCATCGAGTTGCTCAAGGAAGCATTCGAGCGTTTCTATAATGATGCATACTTTGCACAGCAACTTGCTCGTCTTCATTATACTTATGAAAAATTTGAAGAGGCCAAAAACTGGGCAGAGACAGCAGTGAAACAGCTGCCTGACAACTCCTATATACTCGACACAAAGGGGCAAGTATATAAGAAATGGTTCCAAGCAAAATGTAAAACGATCGAAAATGTACCAAAGACGGCGCAAAACACAGCAGATGCTGTGGAAACTGCACTGAAAGCACTTGACTGTTTTCAAGAATGTCAGAGAGCAGCTGATGCTGAGATGCAACATGTCAACACTTCAGGGTTTTATGCTGAAGTTGAGGTTGGGCTGGGCCTTCTCAAACTGATCTTTTCATTGCAAGTATTTGCAAACAGATCCAATGGTCATTCAGAGTGTATGAAGTACCTAACATCAGATTACATCCCAGTGGAAGTTAAAGATGCTTGGGAACCATTTCATGACCATTTGAAAAAACTGTGCCAGACAATGAAAGACACTTTGGAAAGGATCTCAGAGGACCTGAGTTATTTCCAGACAGACATTGATGCAGATGAAGAAGAGACGCCTGAAGGCCCTGAGGGGAAGATACGTCATCCATTGAAGTGGTTGGCAATAAAATCCTCTGAGTATGGAAAGTACTTCAGTGAAGCTTTTTCTGCTGCAGTCCTACAGCATCGGAAATCAATCCCAGCCAACCTCACTCCTTTCCAAAAACGAATGATGATCTATCATCTTGGTGGTGGCAACATAACATCCATTCTCTATAAGATAACTGATCAGAAGGACGCAGTAAAACTTCTAGAGCTCATCCTTTCTCTCTACCCCAGTAATCCATTAAAAGCTAAATTTGATCAAATGGATATTGTTAATTACATAGCGACCCATATTTCTCTGAACTGTCTGTCACCACAAAATCAAAAAGTAGCTCCTCTGAAAGTTCTACAAGCACTTCGTCACCAGTTTCCATATGATAAAAGGAAATGTTTGCCAAATGCCCTGTTCTTGCTTACATTGCTATTCTGGCCAGAGGATGACGACACGGAGCATGAGAGAGAAAAAAAATATCAAATTGTGCAAACAGCTGTTGAGCACCTGGAAAAAGGCCACAGGACCAAGATGAAAGACATTCCTCCATGGAAGAGAAGGATTTACACTCATTTTTTTCTAGGCAATGGGAGTGGGCTGGACAAGTTCGTCCACAAGAATAAGTTAATCAGAGCGTTGTCTTCAATCACAAAGTTGTCTGAAAAACGCATGCAGTGGTTTAGTGGTGAGGCATTCGAGACTCCAGAGATTGCCGCAATGCTAAAACATGTATCTGGGTGGACTAAAGATGGATTGGTGTATCTTGAAGGTCCCAAGGAAAAAAAGTTCAATATCAGGCCTGTTAATGCACCTTCAGTGCCTCAAAGTAATGAAAACATCACCTTCTACCTGGGGTTCAATTTCAGAGGCCCTGTTGCTTACAACATAGTTGTGACAAAATAGTCAACCGCTGCCTGTCAGTGTCAATCCAAGTTACTTTTACTTTTTAGTATTATGGATGTTAAAAAACTATGGATGGTTTTTAAAAAACACACGAGCCTCAGTTTGTGAAAAAAAAAAAAGAATAAAGCTAAACAGTTGTAGCATGTAATGATTATGTATGCAATTTTAGTGTCACTCAAAAAACATTGCTCAAGTGTCATAAAAATAATTAACCACTGTTTTGTTTAGTTGTAAATGTATTTAATCTGGCCAAGTTATTTATCCAACTACTTTGTATTGTGATTATGTGGGTGTCACATTTTGTTATGCTTCATTAGTCTCATTTTAGGTTGTACTTCTATTAGTGTATATTTGCATTGTTAGTCTATTAATCTCAACTACACTTTGGGGCCAACTTTTTCTTATGGTATGTGCTATTAGAAGGACGGCATAAATTACTCCGAATCTAAAAATTATTAGGAATAACAATGTAAATATAATTATTGTCATGGCTGGGTATATCCTCTCCGGCTAATATGCCTTTGTGTTTGTTGCTTGTCTGTATTCCTTGTGTTCTCTTGACCAACTGTACTTTGATTTTATGAGCTGGTTCATATTCAGTGTTGATGCACTACACCGAAAAACAAAATCTACCAGCTACGCTAAAAGTGAAGCATGTATTGCTTGACTACAGTGTGAGCCTTCTTTCAGTTTTAATGCAGCTTTCCATTGATGTTCCATGACAGGAAAGTTGTTTCCAAGTATGAGCCCTTTATGTGTACTTTTCTAGTATATTATTGTGTATTTTCCAGGATAAATAAGGAAGCAGTATAATTAAATGTGAACTATTTAATTTTCTTGCCTATTTGCTTTTTAAATAGATTGGGAACTGATGTAAAAAAGTTTTTTGCAGTCAGAAGAATGACACTGTTGCATAGATGTTAACTTTACTTACAACACAATTCTTTAGGTAAAAGTGCAAAACAGTAATTTAATGTGCCTCTTTTTTTTCCCTTTGAAGATTTTGCATTTTATTCATATACATGACTAAGTAAACATAAGTGTCCTTAAAATATGTATAAAATAAATGAATAAATAAGGTTAATGACATTTCTGGTGTTGTTTCTTTGTCAAATTGAAATCTCCAGTTCTGCTCAAACTAAAAGAATGGTGACATATGCTTTTTATAGGCAAATGTTTTCAGCTGGGGAAAGGTCTGAGGCTTGTACTGCAAAGCAGGATTTGGTCATATCCAAGTAACTTTAGGTTTAACTCAGGGTTTTCTGTACTGCAAAAGTAGTTCACTTCTTACTAGGGTATATTGCCATGGTAACTTATGATGTGAACTGATTAGAGATCAACAACAAAACTCACTGCTTATCGGCCAATGTGTTCTCCAGAAAATAGTGTCACCATTCTTTGAAAATCCCTTAATTGGATTGCTGTGTGCAGGAACTAGGAATGTGTAAATTCTTTCTTTCCTTGATCATCTGTAACATCAATGGAACTTTATTCCTTGATTTTTTTTCTCCCTGTTGACTGCAAACAATTTTACCGTAATTTTATTGTTCCCTAATTATTAATGATCCTAAAACAGGACAGCTACAATGTACTTGCTGACTTATCAGCAAGTACAGTAAAACATGAGCATAAGCCTAAAATAAACATTAATTAAAATTTCAAATTATGCAACAGACTTTTAGCTAGTCTTAGCATTTGATAGCACAGCTAGATGCCATTTTCGTTTGGATCAATGACTGTAGAAAACATGGACGGTGCAACAGCACCTCCTCCCATTGTGCAAAAATGAAACCAAAATATCCCGCTTGTGGAGGCTGCCATCTTGCATTTTTGGAGCTAGAGTCTGCGCAGTAGTGACTTGAGGTCACACTCCCGCCCACACACCCGCTGGACATGACCGCAAACACTCCCCCTTACACTTTTTACTTAACCTGCTCCATTTTTTTGTTGATGGGTTTACCGTGACTGACAACTCGTTAAAGGTAAATACAACCACGTCACTGTTATGAAAAAGACACACAGCTTATCTTATAGTTCTACACCATCTAAAAATCACTTTGTTAATTCGTTTGCTAGATTAGCCGCTAGCATACGCAATGTGTTGGGGGCTTGTTGCTAGCTAGTTAGCAATGCTACACACTTGTTACTCTAAT